TAGCTACATCTTCCTACAACGACAGGTTCAGGGGTAGTTCAAAATCGGGTTATAGAGTAGGGATAAGTAGGGTAACTCTACTTATAATTTATATTGAGGTACTTAAAACCTATATTAGGGGACTGATAACCCACTTACAACTACCCATGAACCTCCAAGTAGGGGTTTTGGGCTCTGCCCCGCCACAATTGCCGGAGTATCCGACTTTTCGGTTCCCAGGTCTGGTATGTATTCATTCTGTTTAGGGTTTAGGGGCTTAGGGTTTTAGGGTTTAGGGTTTTAGGGGGTTTAGGGTTTAGGGCTTCAGGGTTTAGGGTCTAGGGCCTTTACCCATTCTGCGAGAGTCTCCGGCTACCCGATAACTACTTTTGGGATACTGCGCAACGGTATCCAGATGTTCGGTGACTCTCCCAAAAGTCGTTAAAACAAGTCGGCCGGGCCTGGAATTGTGCGGCGAGGCTGTAGCTTTTGACGAGGACCAAGGTGAAGAGAAGGTTGTCCTCACAGCGATCAGGGAACTTAGCTTCAATCTAACTGCGACTATGAGTCTAATTTGGTACTCACAACCCCCGCGTCCCTTGATTGTACAAGGGTCCTTCTCATATCTTCTAATTCAATAGTCCTCGACAGCGTCCCTTACAACAGAATACTACTCTACTGTGATGTGCGGACTTTGTGCCTTCATGCGGGTCTACGGCCCTTTTCGTGTCCTGGAAGTTGGCGTAGACGCCCAGTGCGAGCATGTAGGTGGTTGGGGCGGAGTCCACGGCAAACCTGAAAATCAGGCCCAAAGCAAGCGTGCCCAGCACCGTCAGAACCACTGCGGGTATCACCACATCGACCATCAGACACTCCGGCACGATCTTGCTGCTGGGAGCCCTGGCCGACTGCTGCAGCAAGCCTACAGCAACGCCAGGTTCCTCCAGGGCTGCAGAGTCTATGGGTTTAGGGTTTAGGGTTTAGGGTTTAGGGGTTTAGGGGTTTAGGGGTTTAGGAGTTTAGGGGTTTAGGGTTTAGGGCTGCAGATCTATGGCTCAACCGATGAGAACACCCCCACCCAGGGACCCTTATTACCCTGAAACCTAAGGAGGAATCTTCACCGTGCAATTTGCTTACGTCATCAAGGGCCCAGGGCTAGAGTAAACCTGGGTCTTTCTGACTGCATGGCCTCCTCGGTCAGCTTAACTGGATTCACGGCCAAACCTTGCGCTTGCCCCTGGTGAAGTGACGCACGTGGATCTCCAACGGGCACGTCGGTTTTCCTTGCGCTGTATCTGCGGGAGCGAAACACCCTCAGAAAAGCAGGTCCCTGCTGTTATGAACATGGTAAGCAGGAAATCTTAAACCCATGCCGTTGGCGAGGAAAAATTTCTGGGCCAGGTTTCTGCATTACTCGACTCTTACCGACCTACCCTGAATTGCGAGAGCCGTGGACTGGACGCCGACATGAAAAACTCACCCTAAACTCTAAACCCGAACCTCCAATCCCTAAACCCTAAACCCCCTAAACCCCCTAAACCCCCTGAACCCTAAACCCATCCAAGCCAGGCCCAAGGCTCAAGAACGTCTCGGAAACAGCACTTCGCTCCTGAAGCGCTGCGCTGTGCGACCTCGGGGGCTCTTGGAGAGGGCATGTCGTTCGGCAAGTCTGCGGGCGGGAGATTGGGCTTGCCGGGAGCAACCCCCTCCGGAAATTGGTGTGCTTTTTTCTGTCTTTTCCTCCCCCCCCCACCACCCCACCCCCTCCCGACGCGAGGCGATTAAAGTAAATATCATTACTCTATTCGTCGTATGCTTGCTACTGCTCGTTGCTATTATTACGTGTGCATTTATTCGTATTCCTATCCTGATTATTATTTGTTGTTGTTGTCGTTGCTAGTGGTACTCTTGTCGCTACTGTTAGGGCTACTGTCATGGTTATTGTTAGTGTTATTGCTATCATTACGATTCTACTAACAGTCTGATTATTACTGTTGTCATTATTTTGATTACTACTAGCATGTCTATTCCCATTTCTAGGTTCGATTTTCTTATCACGATCATTGGCATTGGCACTATTATTCGTATTTTAGTATTCTTGACAATATTATTGGCAGTATCGTTATTGATTTTATTATCATGCGTGCTTATTCATAGTCTTATTGCTATTCTTGTGGGTCTTACTTTGTGATTGCGTGATTCTTACCATTATTATTGTTAGTATCGGTGTCAGAACCATGGTTTATGATCTTCATTATTATTGTTATCACTACTGTGATTATTTCTATTGTGATTATGCCTTTTCTTATGATCATTGCGTTCGCGGCCGTGACTGGGCTTCGGGTTCGAGGCTCAGATGCCCAGTAAATCCCCCATGCTGACAACCTCTCAGCTTCGGCGTCTGCGAAGTGTATAAAAACATCCTTCGGAAGAGCTTAGCGCAGACCAGTCTTGGTCATTAGAAATGCTTGGGTACTACCTTGTATGTCAGCGTGGTGGCCGGAAAAAAGACGTTTACCGAGACACCACACTCGTACCAAGCCATGGGGCCTTGTCTCCAGCGTAAGCTGCACAAGGAGCAGAGATAGCAATAGTCGGGCGCATCGTTCTGGCATGGCTCTGCGCCGGTGAATCTCTTGACTTCGAGGCACTCCGATTTCGGGTTTCTGGAGTGGTGGGGGAGAATGCGCATGGCTTGTATGGTCTTAAAGGCGTGTGAAGTCCTGCTGACTTGCGACAAACGGGAACACGTCTGCTAACCTGTAGGCCAGATCCAAGCATCATTTCCAGACCGGGGATCGGACACATGCAGGTGGTCAAACATGCAACTCAGCAGCACGGCAAAGTCGCGAAAGCTACTTCCAGAAAAGCTGTTGAACATCACGAACCAAGATTTATGGACTCATGGATTCAGCACTACAGGCAAAGGTTTACCGCCACATGTCTTCAAGGTGTTCGTGTTTAGATATACTCGCGAACATTAGACCCTTCCAAGTACGACAGTCGTGCAAGAGACGCAAGAGACCGGGTGAAGCGGCATGGCACTGCGATTGCGAACCAAAGAGCATGCAGAAAGCAAAGGAAGCACTGCGTCATTGAACAAGTCAGACATGGAGGACAACTTGATTGCTTGAGTCTGTCTCCCCGAGCTGCTGGCGACTGGCAGAAGCCAAAAAGAAGCCGTGCCTCTTCCAGCCTAGGCTCCATCTGAAGGCGGCCTCAACACGGAGCAGCATTCTGCAGCATCTCTTGCGGTGGGAAAACATGAACTCGCGAGCCAGGCCCGGACTCGCCAAGGGCCGCCCACTCCATGGGGTCTCGAAGCTTGCGTCCCCTAAAAAAGTGCAAAGCGCGGCCACTTCGACTTGCCCCACGGGTGCATGAACTCGACATCTAACAGGGAACCGACCCGATCCGATGTTGTGGCAAGCAGACCCTTCCACTTCTGCGGAATGAGGCCCTCGCCGCCACAGCAGCCAAGGGACGAGCGAGTGGAGGAGCGCAGTAAGCACTCTACAGGTCTTTGCGGCTTGGATGTGCGATTAAACAAAGCAGAGCACAGCTGGAAGTGCGAACTTCCTTGGATTGCTGGCCCTGGGTCTTCATCATGCCCGTAGCAAACTTCTGCCAAAACCAGGGGAACAGAAAAGGTCGAATTGCAGAACTGCCAGCCAGCCGCCCATCAACTAGAACGGCAAAGCAACCCCTCTTTTCACCTTGACGTGGCAGAGTCCATTCAGACGACGCCGTTCCACAGCATGCATTCATTCACTGTTCATGACTAGGCATTGGCACCAGGCATTGACACTAGGCAGCGAGTGAAGACTCATTGGACTTCCTTTGCAGGGCAGGGTGGGTGCAAGTCACAGGTGTTTAGTCCACCTTGACGCTCTGAGAAGCATGGGAAACCTCGGAGGGGGAGAGGGAGGCGTCTCCACCGAGACAAAGGAAAGATTCCTCAACGTGTCCGTGGTTTCCATGGAACTGGTTGGCCCCACTGATTGGGCAACACCTCCGGAGATCTTCTGTTCATCCAGGTTTATGCACACTGCGCCGAAGATCTTCGTGGCTGCGCGCAGGGCTTCGACTCCCAAGGAGGAAATCTGCGTATGCCGGAGTGTCAGTTGGTCTACGCCTGTGCTGGTCTCCAAGGCGGCAGCGATTGCCAAGGCCTCCTCATCACCGAGCTGACATGCATCCAGATGGATGTGACGAGACCCAGACTCCACGATCCTTCTGGCACCTTCGCAACCCAGCTTCGTGTCACGGATGATGACCACGTCCAGGTTACCGAAGTAGGGGAGCGCTGCACACAAGACTGGCACCTGGTCGTCTGGCAGCTGCAGGTTGAGCTTTGTGGTCTCCTGCGCCTTCTGCAAGAAGATCTTCTCCTGCAGCTCTTTGACCAAAGCCGAGTCGTTGCGATGGGTGAACCTGCACATGTCCATGCAGTTCGAGAAGAGGCTGGGAGGCATGGGCACGCGCCTTGCAAAGGTCTCCCGTAGGCTGGCCCACTCCTGCTCTGCCTGGCACCAGCCACGTTGGGCGTAGGGCACTTCGTTCAGCTTGAGGGCTGCAGCGGGAACCTCTTCCACGTGCAGGTTGGCAGCATTGTACACAGCAACTGGACAATCTTTTTGGGCAGACTGCACGTCCGTCGGGGTGAGATCTTCCAGAACTTCCACCTGACACGGTCGCAGCTCTTTTGATCGCAAACTCTGATCAGAACAGTTAAATGTTAAAGCCAGTTCAAGCGTTGAGTCGGCTTTGGCCCCGCGAAGACTGCCCGCCTTCACCAGCTCGTGGGCATACAAGACATGCATTCCCTGAAGAGCTTTCAAGAAGCTTTGGTTTTGGGCCTCGCTGCGGGGATACTGGAAGAGCGACATGAAGTCGATGAAGAGCCATACTTGCGACCGATCACCTTCCATGTGACGGAAACGGCTGATGGTCTGATCCAGCTGAAACTTCCATGGGTCCGGGTGCTCCATGCTCTCCCAGCAATGCGAGACAGAGCCGAAGTGGATCAGCTTCCCCGAGGCCGTGAAGAAGCGGCGGCCGGTCGGATGGGAGAGACGACGCAGCTCCGACTCCGCCACGAGCGCAGTCTCCCCACTGTCCAGAAGGATGCTTTCGGCCTCCTGCCTCCGCGGCCAGGGAAGCCTCTTCTGCTGCAGCTCCAGTAAGTAGGACAGACGAACAAGCCGCACGTCTGCTTCTCGAAGGTAGCGAATGAAGTCCATTGGATCAGTCAAGCTGTACTGCCCATCAGTCTCCGGGGCGACCCTTCCGTTGATCCATGCCTTCCGTACCTTCCAAGCCAACACCGTGATCACAATGGCAGCGGCACAGGACAGCGAGGCGACCAAGCTTGCACTGCCTTGCTCCAAGGGCACTTTGGCCGCGGTGTCACCCAGGATGACATGCGGTGGCAGGGAGGTGCTGGTTTGGGTTCGGGTTGAGCTCTGAGTTGTGATGGCTTCGGTCGAGCTAGCTATGCTTGCGTGATGGCTGGGGCTTCTTGAATCTCCAGCCGCAACAGCTGTAGTAGTGATGGTTGCGCTTACAGTCCATGTAGAAAACCTCGTGCTGCTTGTGGTCGATGAAATCGAGGATTCTGTTGCAGTGACTGTCGCGGCAGCGGCAGTAGCTGTGGAAGTGGTGCTGAGTGCAGTGCTGCTGGGTAAGTGTGGCGGTGGAAGTGAGGGTGGTGGAAGTGAACGTCAAGATGGTGCCTGAAGTTGTGGCAGAACTGGACGACGTGGTTGCAGACACGGACTTGGCACTTGCCAGTGTGGTGGTAGTTTCTGGCACTGGCACAGTGAACATCTTGCCTGCTCTGGTAGGGTCCAGCCCATCCACCATGCAACCAGAGAACTTGACGGTTGAGGTCATAAACACAAACATGGGAATAGCGTGCCATGGGCTTAGCAGTCAGGACTGTTTCCTCAGTCCAAGCTACGATCTGGATGTCGTACCTCCACAAATCATCAGTGCGTCCGCCATCGGTTAGACCACCATGCAGCCACAAACGATGGCCAATGGAGTCAAAAATCAAAACAGAATTTCGACGTGCTAAAGGCTTAGGGAGATCTGGTGCCTGTTCACTCCAGGTTTTTGTCTGGACGTCCACTTCCATAGATCATCAAATTTGGTTGTGTGCTCTCCTCCATGAAGCCACACAGCACGGCTTTCAGAGTCGTACGCCATAGCATGAGAATACCGCTTTGCAGGCTCAGGATCAAGAGCCCAAGTCCTCCAGGTCGAGGTCTGGATGTCGTACCTACATGTGTTCTCGAGCACATAGTTACCATTGCTCATCCGCCCCCCAAACACCCACAGCATCTGCTCATGAGAATCATAGACCATGGCATGGTTTTTGCGCCCTACCGGCTTGTTAAGAGCATCGGTCTGCTCAGACCACGTCAAATTGGCAATGTCAAACTTCCAAAGCTTTTCACCGTTGGACAAAGAGCCTTTTCCTCCGTAGAGCCAGAGTACATGCTTCTGGTCATCAAAACCATGGCATGGCCACCATTGGTGCTCGCGGGCTCGATGGCTAGGACTTGTTGGGTCCAGGTGGAGCTCTCTAGATCAGAGCGCCAAAAGTCGGACATGCCCTCTCCTCCATGTAGCCACAGTGCTTGGCCCACGAAATCATATGCCATGACGTGGCCTTGGCGAGCAGACAGTGGAGGTGTTCCCAGTTGGATCCAAGCACTTTGTGCCCGAAGCAGCCCGGTGACGACAGATAGGACAAGCAAGCCGGTTGCTGCTTTCGGCAACAGCGGGAAAACCATATCTGGTCACTTCTCTGCATTTCAAAAGCCCTGGCCTAGCATTGAAGCCCAAATGGCTTCGTACGTGGTGACGCAATGGCGCCTGTGCATCGCAACCAGACATTCCAAAAACATCATGCCCCCAGCATCTCGACAAGCCATGTTGCGAAACAACCGATGCATGGCTCACATGTTCAAAGACGTGTGGCAGCTGCTACAGTTTACGTGAGCACAAGCGGAAACACAGTCGAATATATCGAGAATCAACTCCATCCAAAATCGTTTGCAGCCCTGATCATGCCATTGGCACTTGGTTTTGCAACCACCATCACCTCGTCCCCAAAAAAACACATAATGAGAATCCAGATGTTGTGAACAACCATCAATCACATGCAACAACACTCTACGCATGAAACCACACGGCTCCCGACACATGCAAGTGACTTGCTCCAGCGTTTTTCAGAAAGTCTGAAAACATTTACGGGCTTGTGTCCTAGCAGCATCTCGGCCCATGCTCGCTCTCTGGCTGTACTCATGAACAGCCCTGGGCAGCTTTGCAGACACCACAAATGCAGGAGGGAGGAAGGGAGGGAGGAAGGGAGGGAGGGGGGGGGACAGGACGGAGAGGGAGCCGATGAACTGCTTTGAGAAGGCCCATTGCTGGTTGTCATCATCACGAACGACAGACAGAAACGGGACCTAAAGCGCGAAAACTAACCCTAGTTTTCGAACACCAAGAATTAAAGCGCTATCAACCCGTTGACCGCTAGCTTACTTTACTATACTAGACTATACCTCTCCTTTTCTATACTATACTCCTCCAAAGCACTGACTCCGAAAGCCCGAGGCCCGCAGCCTGTCTTGCTTGTCCTTCAACCACTGTGGCATGTCCTGTTGCGCTGAGTGGGCCGTTCCGGGAGCTTTGGTTCTTTTCTAGGAAAGTTTAAAAGACCTGGTCCGGGCACGAGGGTTGAGGGCATAGGCTTTATCACAACTTCCTTGGCTTTCAATTCGAAACTCCTAAAACACTGGCCAGGAAACCCTCCCGACAGTTGGTGACAGCCAAATTTGGTCGCCCGCGGTATAGCTTGGGGGTTAGGATACTTGATGCCTCAAGACGCAAGCAACAGGCTCTGGGCCTTAAAAGCTTGACGGCAATTTTGCTGCCATGACTTCAAGACCATTCCCAGCAGCAAACCGCTGGAGCACTCCTTTGAGTGAAGGCGTGCGCCGCACAGCCCAGCAAAAAAAACTTCTGGATGTTTGTGGTGAAGTGCTGGATTATTCATCACGGCATCTTCACCATAGACCACAGTTCCACAAAGCACTCTTCACTGCGACATGGGCGCAAAGTTCTTAAGGCAGCGTTCCTTTTCGGACACGATGTGCCAAATTCCTGATGGTTCATCCCCCGCTACAGCGATAACTCTCATGGTGTCCAAGCAAGCCATCTAAGCCAGGGCATTGATCCATCCAGGTGCCCAGAATGTTCGTGGCTACCGTAGCAGGCTCATTCTGTGTCGGGCTGGCGGCCCCTACGGGCGACTGACATGGCTGATTGGCGGCAAGTCAAAAGAATCCCGACGAAGAGGTGAAACAAAATCATTGTGAAAGAGCATCCGATTCCCAGCCAGGCGTACCTTAGAGGTGTGGAAGTTGAGACAAACAATACAAGGGCAAGCCCACGCGGTCGCGTTTGAGTGTGAGGGTGTTCAGAAAACCAAGCCATGCACATCAGATCTCTTCGTGAGTCATATACTGTGCACATGACCGTCTTAAACATGAATCGCAAAATTCCATGCAATGGCAAGACAGTGCAACTCAACACCAAGGCACCAAGCATCACCACCGAAGTAGAACAAGTCGAGGCCGCCGATCACAAGCTCCGGGATGTCCTCGACGAGCCGCAGACCAGTGCTAAGAGGTTCCCGCATCTTTTGAAGCTCCTCAACTTCATCCCCCGTCCTTGGCACACAGATGTTGCAGATCTACTTGCAGGGAATGAGCAAAAGGCCATACGAGAAAAAACAAAAGATAGTTCTGGTCAGGTGTAGGTTCAAGTACATTGCAAGCAGAGCGTTGAAAAATGGGAGTTCCATCGCGGCTGCTTTGGACACATTGGCCTGCCAGGGAACATGTCATGGCAAGGCGTGAGGCGAACAGAACAGGTAGGGCAAAAAACGCGATAAAATGGCAGACCATGGCCTCTTTCGCCGCCCCTGGCGTGAAGACCACAGCCAGAGCCATAACCCAAGCGGCCAGCACAAGCAATGGATTCAGGACAGCCTGCGCCAGGACCGAGATGCTTCCACCCACGAATCCAATCATGTAGATGATGAACATCAGGATGCCCAGGGCCGTCATGAAAACGCAAGCGCGCCAACGCCATAGCTGCTTCTGCAGAACCAGCCGGTTCTGCATGGCGCGCGTGTAGAAGGCGGCAGTCCAAGCGATGGTGAGGCCCAGCGACAGAAGCGAAAAGAACCAAAGGCCAGTGGCCAAGGGAAAACATCCAATGTCAGTGCAGCGAGGCGTCTCCATCGTGTAGATGTCGAACTTGCCACAATTGTCCAGTTCCGTCTTGAATGGGCAATTAGCCCCTGCGGCCTCCCAGGCCAGAACGAGACCCGGAAGAGACACATCCCGAACCGAAACAAGTCTTGCTACAACATCAGCGGCGCCCCCGACTCGAATCCAGGTGAAACTGTTGCTTTGAGATGCATCGGAGGCGGGAAGGGAGCTGAAAACGGACTGGGGGCAGCCCCAGCTATTGTTTGCCAAGCAGGCTCTTGGGTGGAATACGTGGCGTTGGAAATCTGCTTCATACCAACCTGGAATATACTCTATACCAGCCCTAAACCTGGACCACCAACCATCGAACTACCCCAAGGGTCCAGGTACCCAAGTATCGAAGTTTAAACTCTACGCCATGATTGCGACTCTTAGTACAGAAACCATCGACACTCTAAAACTACATCTGTCAGACCTGGCCTCAAAATCCGCTTCGCAGAGCTCGCCCTGGCCTAGGCCAGACTGGCACTCGGGCAGCTCCAGCGTTGCTGTTTCACTGGGACAGTTTTCTGCCAGCACTGGCTGCAGAATTCCGGAGCCGCAGTCATTGCTGAAGCCGATCAATGCCGAGCGCTGGTAGGCTTCTGTCACGTACAAGAGCCTGGGTTAGGTTTGGCACAGCTATCAGTGGCACAGGTTTCAGAACGCTGTAGGTCACCTGCAAACCGACTCGAACAACAGCCGGATTTGACAGCAAGCCTCAACAAACGGAAACAACGCAATAGCTCAAGCCCTGAAACGATGACACCAGATTCCCCGACTCCAAGATCATGTTCAATGCCAGAACATAGGTCGAGCGCCGGATCAGCCTCGAGGTCGGCATCTCTTTCTCCTGAAGCCCTTGATGCTCCTCTGACTCTGTTGGTTCTGTCGTCTCCTGATCCGCGTTGGGACGCCCAAGAACTTGGGGCGGCTCAGTTGGCTCGCCAGTCTTTGCCCAGAGATGGACCATGAGGAGAACCGATCCTATGGCCACGAGGTACAAGGCCAAACAACCAAGGGTCCAGGCACCAGCATTTGCAAAGACAAATTGAGTTGATTCCAATGAGGACGGCGGTTCTGTCCGAGTGCTCGTTTTTGTCATTGTTGTTGTTGATGTTGTTGTTGTCAAACCAAACACAACAACAGAATCATCAAAATAGTTGGCCACAACCAGGTAGTGCGTGCCATCGATAACGAAGGATTCCCAACCATGGGCTCCATGTGTTGCCAAGCTCTGAAACTCTGCGAACGATGAGCCATCCCACTGGTAGATCTTGGAATCGATGTTGTGGGAAGCATCGTTGTAGTAGTTGGCCACAGCCAGGTAGTGCATGCCATCGATAACGAAGGATTCCCAACCATGGGCTCCATGTGTTGCCAAGCTCTGAAACTCTGCGAACGATGAGCCATCCCACCGGTAGATCTTGGAATCGATGTTGCGGGAAGCATCGTTGAAGGCGTTTTCCACAGCCAGGTACTGCGTGCCATCGATAACGAAGGATTCCCAACCATGGGCTCCATGTGTTGCCAAGCTCTGAAACTCTGCGAACGATGAGCCATCCCACTTGTAGATCTTGGAATCGATGTTGCTGGAAGCATCGTTGTAGTGGTTGGCCACAACCAGGTAGTGCGTGCCATCGATAACGAAGGATTCCCAATCAACAGCTCCATGTGTTGCCAAGCTCTGAAACTCTGCGAACGATGAGCCATCCCACTGGTAGATCTTGGAATCGATGTTGCTGGAAGCATCGTTGTAGTGGTTGGCCACAACCAGGTAGTGCGTGCCATCGATAACGAAGGATTCCCAATCAAAGGCTCCATGTGTTGCCAAGCTCTGAAACTCTGCAAACAATGAGCCATCCCACTTGTAGATCTTGGAATCGATGTTGTGGGAAGCATCGTTGTTGCGGTTGGCCACAACCAGGTAGTGCGTGCCATCGATAACGAAGGATTCCCAATCAACGGCTCCATGTGTTGCCAAGCTCTGAAACTCTGCGAACGATGAGCCATCCCACTGGTAGATCTTGGAATCGATGTTGTGGGAAGCATCGTTGTAGAAGTTGGCTACAGCCAGGTAGTGCTTGCCATCGATCCTCAGTGCGTAAACCAAGCATGCGGAAGCTGTGTGACGTTCTCGCGAGAAATGTGGTTCTGCAGGCAAAGGCAAAGGGAGTAACTTATGGGGCGTTGAGGCATCTGAACGAATTTGTCAAAATCCGTCCGAATAACGGCCGGCAGTTGCGAGTACATGGCTTCATTTGGCCAGGGGGGCATCATGTACTACGTGTCCCTGCTTGTCATCAAATCAAACCCTGAGAAACGCGCGAATCAACATTGTGGCGCTGAACATCCCGGTTCCTTTAACCTACGATCCCTGCGAACCAAGAATCTCAAACGCACTGCAGGCGAAAGCCCTCTTGGTAGTAATATCCTGCAGCCTGCTGAAGGTCGCCAAAGCAGGTGGCAAGCCGGCCAGCGCCGCTATAATCGCGACGCGGCGCGTGAGGGCCAGGCGCGCCAAAGTCATTCACAAGAGAGTATCAACATGCAAAGCAATTTGAGTAGTTGTTGGGTCTTGGTTTATGGCCAAAAGATTGGGCGATGAGCTTTGTTGCCGCCGCTGCCTGCGTCCAAATGACGCTGAAGGGCCGGGCGTACGGCGGTGGCGAATAAGATTCTTGATCTGTTGCGATAAGGCACACTTTGTTCACCCTTGCAGTTCACACATGCTAAGCCCACCAGTGGTAAACCGTTCCTTTCACATGATGTAGATACGTCATGAGGGATTTCTCGAGATCACCACTGAAACATCCTAAGTGGGGAACCCCATAATCCATTTGCGCAGCGGCTGATAGCCTCGAACTCCGAGAACCCCTCAACCCTCATCCCCAAACCCAACACTTCAAAACCGAACCCTCCAAAGCCCTCATCCTTGTGAGTTTCCTTCTGATTTCCCTCTCTCGCCCACATGTTTCCGAATAGCCGCAGTCATCTCCCGGACGCCCTGCTCGTTGCCCTCGGAGCACAGGAAGTGATGTGATTTTCGAATTATCGGTAGATTTTGAGAAGTTTGAAGGGTTTTAAGCGCGAAGAGTTTAGAGACTGCGGGTCACATGGAGAATGATACTTGATGATAACTGATGATAACGGATGATAATCGTACTGTCCTGCGCAAGGGGTGCCCTCGGTTTAGGTCGAACTGGCCTAATGTTTGTTTAGCTAGGACCTTCCCACACCCTAGCCCCAACCCTGTTTTGATGCCCTGGATGTTTTTTTCCGATTTTGGTGCTCTGGTGCCCGCTGCTCCGCTGGTGCTCATTTGATGCCCTTCTGATGCCCGACTGGGTGTTATATAACACCTTAACGCCAGCATTTTAGCGCAAAATGGGCGTCATGCCCAGGCAACACCCTAAGACAGGCCCGGGCGCCGGCCTTCGAGCAGGCTCTTGGGTGGGCAGCAGGCTATCCTGGGGGCAGGGTTGCGGCATGGCTCCTACTCCCGCTGCTCGACAATCTCGCCGAGGTCAATGCCGATTCTGGGTTTCGGCTGCTACAAAGTCGGGGTGTTGGCCTTGATCTGTCCCGATGTCCTGATCTATAGGCGCCTGAAAGTTCTGCAGACATGGAGAGGTGGTTCCT